TCAAGTTCACTGACTCTGTTCTTTCATCTCCAATCTCCTATTAAGTTCATCTAATAAGTTTACTTCAGATATTGTATTTTTTTAATTCTAGAATTTCCATTTCTTTTTCCTTAAATATATATTTTTTTCTGTACTGTGGTTTCCCATTGTTTATTCTTTAGGAGAATATTTTCCTTTAATTCTTTGAGATGTTGAAACTGCTTTGAAATTCTCATCTCTTAATTCTGATATCTGGTCATCTCAGAATTAGCCTTTATTGATTGAATTCTTTCCTGAATATGGATCTTGTGTTCTTATGTCTTCATACATCTAGAAGTTTGGATGGTGTCTTCAGCATTTCTAATGATACATTATAGACACTCTGGAATGGCTTATGTTCTTCTGAAGAGTACTGTTTTTTGAATTTGGTTTTGTTCTACTTGGTAGTTCACTGGGCTGAAGTCGAACTCTGAGCTCTGTCTTCCCTGCAGTTGGGGTCTTTGTTCACTTCTTTCAGCTGGACTTCTAGAAAGCCACCCCGCATGTGGGGCATGTGGGGTCGGGGTGAGAGGATGCCAGAGTTAGGGCCCCTCCGAGGCACTCTCCCACCTCAGGTCTCCACGTCCCCCGTCACTTCTCAGCTGCTGCGGTTACCCCCACCTTTGGCCTCTGGGTCTTCATGCCTTCAAGTCTGTGATTTTTCTAAGTGTGGAAGCCACGCTAAAACATTTGTTCTGAGGCAAAACCAAAATAAAACAGATAACAAAAAATGAAAATGAGAACTATAAAATGGTAAACTCTCTGTTTTGGGGGACCTTCAAGACCACCCCCAGTTTTAATGATTACCTAGGAGGACCCCCCCCCGCCCAGGACTCAGCACATAGTCTTCCTCATGACCATGATTTATTCTAGCAACGGGACACAGGGCACAGACAGCCGAGTGAAAGGCCCTGGGGTGAATCTGGAGGAAGCAAGGCGCACGGTTCCGGAGCGCCTCCCAGTGGACTCCCACAGGATGCGCTGTACACCCCCAGCAGCACGTTACGAGAACACAAGTGAGATGGTGCCTACCAAGGAAACACAGGAGAGACTGACTCATGGAGGCATTCCTCTGTCTGGCACATGCCAAGGTGCCAGACTCCCAGAAGGAAGCATATGTTCGATATAAACCACGCTGCTTGAATAAATTGTTCAGGCACAGTGAGTCTTTCTTATCTGGGAATGGTGGGAACGCTCCTGAAATCCACATCTCTAGACCTCACCCAAGGGCCAGCCTTGCTTGTGAGCAGGCCTTTCTCAAGTCTGCGTTCCTGTTTCTGCACAGCCCACTGCCTCGGCCAAGGCGTCTTCACAGGAGAAGTGTTAGCAGTATTGTTGTTCTGGGACCTCACCCAGCCGGGTGAGACCGGTCTGCACGCCTGCTGCCAGGTCTGCCCTTTATAGGCCCTGGCCAGAGCCCATTAAAACAGTACCATTCACCTTTTACCACCATGTCCAAGTGAGAAATCCCAGCTGCCAGACGTGCTTTAGGCCCGGCAGCCCCTTTGAATCTCAGATGCCAATCACTGGCAGCAGGAGGGTTTCCTGCTGGACTGGAGAGCCTGCCGACAGTTGTGAGAAGCAGAGGTGCCCTCCTTCCTCTGCTTCTCCCCAGTGTTGTGCCACCAGGAGTCCTCACGTTGTCTTCCCAGACTTTCACCTGAAAGGGTTTTATGCAAGAAGCACAAAACATTTGGGGCACCTGGGTGGCTCATTCGGTTGAGTGTCCGACTCTTGGTTTTGGCTCAGGTCATGAGATCGAGGGATCGAGGGACCTCAGGGTCATGAGATCGAGCCCCACGTCGGGCTCCGTGCTTGGCGGTGAGTCCTCTTGAGATTCTTTCTCTGCCTCTCCCCCCACCCCCGCTCATTCTTTCTCTTGCTCTTTCTCAAATAAATCTTTAAAAAAAAAAGCACAAAGCATTTTTTACATGAAATTATTTTTTTCTTTAGAGAAAGAGAGAGAGTGTGTGTGGGGGGGTTGGGGGAGAGGGGCAGAGGGAGAAGGAAAGAGAATCTTAAGCAGGCTCATGACCCTGAGATCATGACCTGAGCCGAAATCAAGAGTCAGGCTCTTAAGAGACTGAGCCACCCAGGTTCCCCATACAGGAAAATATTTTTATACAACTTAATCCTGAAGACACATCATGTTTAGGAATTGGTCAAGAGGAAATCTGAATCTTCAAACCGTTTCAGAATGGCTTTACATACCCCACCACTGCTTTTGTCCCCATCATTTATCTGGGGAATGGCCCACAAGAGATCATGTACTTTCTGGGGTAGCGGCGGCACTTAATAATCAAACTACCTTACTCTAAGGTGCATACAGGGGGGAGGTGAGGGAAGTGGGTTCAGGCTCGTGGTCCACTGTTGCAAACTGCAGCTGATCCGGAATGCCAACTACAAGTTAACAGCAACCAGACACTCCCGAGACAGATGGGACTGTGGAGGGGTCACCAGGATGGGATGGGCCTCCCTCTTGCAGCTTTGGGCAGGGGTCACAAGTTGGTACCCCTCGCATCTTGATTTCATATGGCCCATCAGAGCATGGGCCCTTGATTGTAGGCAGCTCAGGTAAACCAGATGGCCCAGCCAGCATCCGGGTTGTTTTAATGGTTAATTTCCCTCCAGGGGGTGTGAATTCTTGCACCTGTTGCAGGCCCCACCTCTGTTTGTGAGCCTGTTCCTGCATTCAGCTTGGCGCTGATCGTGCCATGCTTGAAACAGCCCTGGCAGACCACATAGGGTCCAGCTTAGAGTCAAGTGCAGGCATTTGGGGTCTGTGAGTCCAGGGTTCCAGATGATGTGACTTCCAGGCCATGCTGTGAGAGCTGTGCGAAGACGCAGCATCAGCCCTGCTCCAAGGAGGGCTTGAGGGGACGGTGGAGATGGGGGGAGGGGCACCTCTTTCTCAAGACACATTGGGAAGCCCACCCTGTTCAGACATCAGCTTGGCCGTCCATCCACAGCTTTTACCTTGCTGTGCAGTGAGCTTGAGTCTGACGAGTTCTTGTGTGAGTGGCTAGTTTTCTCTTTTTCCGTTAGTTTTTTTCAGTAGTCACTAGATTGTTGTATCAAACCTGCATTTGTATTACCGAATTTACCTTAAACTTAGAAGTCTCTTTTCACTTTCCAGTTGAGCGCCTTCAGTTATCTTCAGGTGTACGTGATGCCCGTCGTTAATGTGTAGATTACTAATGAAACGGAAAAGGAATCCTAGTCTTCCTTCAGAGGGCAGCAGACAGACTGGAAATGCGGGCAGCACATGGGCCAGGGCACTGTGGCTTCAGGGTCCTGAGGGCAGGCAGGCAGCAGCCCTGGCGAGGAACATGGGGACACAGCGGGCTGGGGTTCTTTATCTCCTCGCTGATGTGGGTCTTGTTTAAATTTCAGGCCTGTAATAAGGACAGATTTCTTAAACTTCCTGTATAGCATTGTACTTGTCCAGCTTTCTGATAGCCAATTAAGAATATATTTTTTAAAAACAACTGAAATACCAAGAACTAAAAGACTTCTAATAGTTTACTCTGAAAGGCTCCAGTATAATCTCCATTCGTGGGTGTAACTCACCCACTTAGAATATTATTTGTGTCCACGTGAATCAGTTTGAAAAATACGGGAGCATATTTAGATTATAACAAATTTAGTAGGTCACTCTACATCCACATGATCATTTGCATCCTCCCTGTGTGAACTCAGGTATGCTTCCTACCTGTGTGCTTTGGAGTTTTGTCTCCAAATGTCAGTTACACGCTGGTCACGCTGGGACATGTGGGATCACCACACAGAAGACATGGGAAGTCACTTGCCCATGGGCTGTCTATTAGGCAGTACAGTCAGAATCCCGTGTGGGAGTTGTGGTTAAAGTCCATACAGGCAAGGAACTTTTCGGTATTATAAATTCTTTGTGATCTCCTGGTAAAAATAATCAGGCACCATTAAAAAAGTAAAATTTGTTATCAATACATTTTCACCTATTATAACATTATTTTAATAAAATTATATAGAGTTTTAAAAACTAAAATTTCTAAATCAGCAGATGTACTTTTATAAATTGTCTTTTTTTTTTTTTTTAAGATTTTATTTATTTATTTGAGAGAGAGAGCACATGAGAGTGGGGAGGGTCAGAGGGAGAAGCAGGCTCCCCGCCGAGCAGGGAGCCCGATGCGGGACTCGATCCTGTGACTCCGGGATCATGACCTGAGCCGAAGGCAGTCACTTAACCAACTGAGCCACCCAGGTGCCCTAAATTGTCTTAAAATAAGGTGCTTCAGTGTCATGTCTGGAGACTTACTGTTTAAGCATTTACCTGTTGCCCGTGAATAGGGTAACCTAAACCACTTTTCTTCTACTTCAAAGCTAGTTCTGGGAAAGTTGTTGTGATGTGTGAATAGTTAAAGCCTTCCCATACAATTTTATAAATATAGATCATGGGGATGTGCTTCAGGCACATGGGAGAAATGCAGTATGTTTTAGAGCTTCAAGGAAGTCAGTTGTTTATGGCAAATGCAGTAGCTGTTAGAAGAAAAACGTGGAAGTAAATTTAGGAATTTGCTAATTGTTTTATAGAACTTATGCGGAATTGTGAGGATTACTTAAATCCCACTAAATTCTTGGGTACCCATGTAACTTCTGAATACTCATACACAGTATGGCAGAACTCCACGAAGTGTATTTCCACCTTTAAACTTGGAATCTGGGACAGCCCCAGGCAACATGGAGCTTTTGAGCAGCTCCCAGGTGCACCTATTGTTAAGCAGCAGTCTGTTAGAACCAAGAGAAATTGCCACACCTCTGTTGAGCTTAAAAATTACTTCCCTTAGTTCTCCTCCATCCTAACATAGTGTTGGCACACAAAATATGGGAAAACCAACCATCACTTTTGGTAAATAACATATGAAAAATATTAGTTGGTGATTGAAAAATTTCCAAGTAATTTTGTCTAATTATAATGTAATTAATTCAGATATTTTGTATTCCAGGACCTTTTTTCAATCAGTGCTTATGTTTATGCTCAGAAGCCACAACTGGATATTCATAGTTTTGAAGGCACATTTACCAGGGTAAGTTAAATCTTTTGTTAAATACAAATATATTCATTGTGTATATAAGTTAAAAACAGCAAACCTTAAGTTTGAATAAATGAAAACAGAAGCTTTGAACGGAAAAGGGAAAGCCTAGAGAATGTTTCAGGTTCTTAAATTTTCCCACAGTCTCTGTGGGATACACTCAGTACAGTGTTTTTGTTTAGCATATTCACCCTGGAGAAGGTCCTTCTCCCTGAAAATACTAGGAGTCAGTAAGATGGAGTACTTTCACTAGTTCAGTGTGAGTTTGGATAGGATTTAATACACTCTGGTGTCCACAGTGTTTCCTGGTTCGTACTGACTGGATGGCTGTGCCTCTGCTCATGTACACGTGTGTGCTTCATCTGATTCTTCGCACGATCATGGGACTTGAAGTCCCTTCTCCCCGATGACTCCCCGATCAGATTTGGAGGACTCAGTAACTTTAGATTTTAACAGCTGATATTATAAATGCTTTATAATACTTAAGGGGTTTTGGGGGGCACCCGGGTGGCTCAGTCGGTTGAGCATCTGCCTTTGGCTCAGGTCATCATCCTGGGGTTCTGGGATCGAGCCCACGTCAGGCTCCCTGCTCCACGGGAAGCCTGCTTC